GGGTGGGGAGTTTTGGGGTTCACCCCCCCCACAACCGTGAGGAAGAAGGTGATGCTGGAGGGTGATGCCGCATCCTGCCCCGCCGCACACCCTCACCCTGTGCCCTGCACCCTCAGGCGTGAGCTTTGCCACACGGCAGATGGCCGGGCTCACCAAACCCACCACCATCATCGTGCTGGATGGTGACAAGGTGACGGTGAAGACCCAAAGCACCTTCAAGAACACAGAGATCAGCTTCAAGCTGGGCGAGGAGTTCGACGAGACCACGGCGGACGACAGGCACGTCAAGGTGAGCCCTGACCCCCACGTGGGACACTGTGGGTTCAATGGGATCCAGCCGTCACCCCTGTGGCTCTGCTGCTCCAGCCTTGTTGCCAATGGAAGGATAAACCCTCTTTGCTCACCAGGGTTGGGGTTCAAGCCCGCTCTCATTCACCCCGTTTTCAGCTGGGGTGCCCTGGGAGCAGCATGGGGAGGACGAGAAGGTTGTGCAAGAGCTGGGCTTGCTCAAGAGGAAGCAAAGGGATGTGGTGGGTTGGCAGCAAGAGGAGTCCCTGCTCCAGAGCAGGGATTGGGGCACAGAGCTCTCTGTTGAGCCCCCCTCTTTGCTCTCTGGGCAGAGCTGCAGCAGGGATGGAGCAGTTGGATGATGCTGAACCCAATCGGGCTGTTCCTCCCCGTAAGAGCAAGGACAAACCACCTCAAGAAGGGTCTGAGCTCCTTCCCTGGCCTCTCCCCCCTGCACAGACATTGTCCCCTGCAGCACTGGCCCAGCCCCTGTTTCCTAGTTGCCCAGCAGCTGATCCCATGCACCAAGTGCAAGAGCTGGGCACAGAGTGAGGATGGGCTGAAATGGGATGAGTGCAGAGGGGATACAGGGCAGCGGATCCATGTCCACAGCAGATCCATGTCCGCAGCAGATCCATGTTCACAGCAGATCCATGTCCGCAGCAGATCCCTGTTCACACTGGCTGGAGCTGGTGGAAACTATGCTTGCAGCAGCAAAGCATGTGACAAGCACCAGCCCCTGCCACAGCCCAGGACGTGCCCTTCGGGTGCTCCTCAGCTGATGGCCAAAGGGCACAGGAGGCTGCCCTGGCCATGGGGCTGCCACCATGTGGGGCACCCCAGATGTGTGGGTCCAGGGCCATGGGGCTCCCAAACTGTGCAAGGAGATGAGTTGTCTGGAGACCTGAGGTGTGCAGAGAGCCTGGCTCTTACGGCGCTGTGGGGACAACACCATGGGGAGACCTGAGCTCTGCGTGCGTGGGGGGGAAACAGAGCCATAGGGGGACCCGAGGGGCTCTGGAGGAGCTGGGTGTGGGGCACAGGGCAGGATGTGGCCCTGGCAGCCCTGGTGCTGGAGCCTGTCCCGGCACAGCTCTGGGCTCACACTAACCTTGGCAGCAGTGGGGTTTGGGTGCTGAGTCAGCTGCAGCAGCTGTGCAAACATCAGCCCGGGAGCACAGGCATTTGCTGGGTCAGCCCCTCCAAAACCCTTCCCAAGCTCTCTGGGTTCGGATCAGAGCCCCAGTAACTGCCCTTGATACCTGCCCTGATACCTCCCCTTAGTAATGGTGGGTCTTGTTCTCTCCCCTCAGTCCTTGGTCACACTGGATGGAGGCAAACTGGTCCATGTGCAGAAGTGGGATGGGAAGGAGACGTCACTGGTGCGGGAGCTGAAGGATGGGAAATTAATTCTGGTAAGGAAATAGAAATGGTTTGAAAGAAGCACAAGTGGTAACAAGTGGTTGTTGAAAATAGGTGGTTTAGTGGGAGAATCGGAGAAAAACTGCTCTGGGGATATGAGAAGCAAAATCATTATGTGTAATCTATTTAAAAGGCGTAACGGGAATGGTGTAACTTAAGGGGTGCCGTCATGCTTTAAAAAAGAGGAGGGGGAGCTACAAGAAACATGAAGAGGGGCTTTGGACAAGGGATGTAGCGACAGGACAAGGGGAATGGCTTTAACCTGCCAGAGGGGAGACTGAGATGAGCTCTGAGGCAGAAGCTCTTCCCTGGGAGGGTGCTGAGGCGCTGGCACAGGGTGCCCAGAGAAGCTGTGGCTGCCCCATCCCTGGCAGTGTTCAAGGCCAGCTTGGACACAGGGGCTTGGAGCAACCTGCTCTAGTGGAAGGTGTCCCTGCCCGGGGCAGGGGGTTGGAACTGGAGGAGCTTTAAGGCCCCTTCCAACCCAAGCCAGGCTGTGACTCTGCAACCAGAGGGGTTCAGCCCAGGACAGGGCAGGCAGGAGCTGCACCAGCATCACAACTAACGCCCCCCTATTTCTACCACCAGACTCTCACCATGGGCAATGTCGTGTCCACCCGCACCTACGAGAAGGCCACATAGACGCTGTCCCCAGCTCCCTGCCTGTCACCTGGTGCCACGTTTTGCCCCCCACACACCTCAGTCCTCGCCCCACACCGGGGTCCCGGAGCCCGTCACGCCATGGGGCCACCCGCTGCCCCTGTCCCCATTGCTCGGGGGCTGCTGGGGCTGGTCTCGTGGGTCAGGGCTTTTGATTTTTTATTGATAATGGGAAAAAGCCACGTGAAGGATGAATAAAGGTCTTGTTGTTACAGCTCCGGGAGCAGCTCCTTGGGAAGAGGGGGTCTGGCACGTGCTCACCCACAGGTTCCAGCCCTGGGGAGTGTGTTGGGGGGGTAAATCCAGCCCTGGCACTGATGGGGTTAAGGAGCCTCGATCCCTGTATCTGGGCTCAGCCTGTTCTCTGAGCTGTGGGAATCAGAGGTGGTCACGGATAGAACTGTGCTTCTCCAGGAAGAATATGAGTTTACTCCCACGGCTGCTCTGGCATCAGTCCTCTGGGTTCCCAGCATGTTCCATCCACAACCCGTGTGCTCTGCCAAAGCTGTGCTGAGACGGGGACTGAGGTCACCAGCACCTCGGGTGTGGGTTTGGGAAGGAACCGGCCTCAAAGGGGACTTGGCTGTGGGGAAGTGGGGTGAAAAGCACCGGGAGGAGGAGCAGCTGCCCCGTGTCCTGCCATGGCAATAGCTGAGCTCCATCCAGCCCCATTCCCGCCTCCATGGGAGCAACAGCTCCCATGTGGCACATCTGCCTGGCTGGGACATGCCAGGGATGTTCTGCTGCTGGAGAGCTCAGCTCTGCCACCCATTCCCTGGGCCTTCAGCTCCACTTACAAGGCTCATCCTCCACACCAGAAGGCTTCTCATCCCATCACATGCCCCTTCCCACTGTAGGGAACCTCTCAAAGCAGCCAGGACTTTCAAACAACCCCTTTAATGCAGGTCTCACCCCCTCCCACAGCCCTACCCTGACTCTTTCACTGCCCAAGACCAAGTGTAGAACACCCAAAGGACAAGACCAGGCACAAAGTGCAGCTGGCAGTTGGAGAGGTTTATTTTCCACCACTTACCACGGTGCCAACACACCACAGTTAATGTTTACTTAAAATATCTCCACTCACCTCTTTGCTCCTTACTTTTCCCCTCCCAGTGGTTGCAGCCAACATCACGGTTGCAGCCAACATCAAGGGGAAGGTGTAAGCCTAAAGCCAAGAGGCTCTGCACTGGGAGGACACAGGACACGGTGCTGGGATGGGCAGGCAGAGCATGGCTGAGCTGCTCCACCTTTCACAGGCCATGTCATGCAGGCCCCATGTCCACAGAGCTGCCAGCACTGGCAGCACCAGTGGGACAGGAGGCTGCAGCCAGGATTGGTGCTGAGGAAGGAGTGTATGGAGCCTGCGGATGGGAGAGAACAGCCTCCTGCACCTAAAGTAACAGAGGAGGATGGGGACTGACTCAACCCTGCACCACTGGATGCCCAGAGTTACACAACCAGAGCTCCCAAGTGGAGATTACTCGAGGTGAGCACTGTGGTACACACCTCCCACTGGAAAGGGATCGGGCAGAGCACCCCAAAGCGGATGAAGGCTATTTAATGGTGGCTGAGCTGTTCGGTTCTGCTCCCTCCTCATGGTGCACACCAGGGGCTCACTGCTAGTACTCCACCAGCCTGCTCAGCCTCAGGGCTTCTTCTTATGCTTCTTGTGCTGCTTCTTCTTCTTCTGGGCCTTGCTGGCCTTCCCCGAGTGCTTGTTCTTCTTGCTGGCTGGCTGAGCCCCGTCGCTGTCCGAGTCTGAGCTGTCTTCAGAGGATGAGGAGGAGGAGGAGGAGGGCTGATGCTTGTGCTTCTTCCTCTTCTTCTTCTCCTAGAAAATGAAGGAGTACAAATTAAGGTGGGAAAACTGCCACCTCTGCTCCCACCAGGGCACCGACACACACTCTGCAACAAGCCCTATGAGCTGGGACAGGGACAAGCCCGTTCCCACCCGGGACGTGCGTTCAGCTCTGACCCATGAGGCTGGATTCAGGTACTGCTCTGTTCAAGCTGCACTGAGCAGAGGAGGGTGTCAAGATGTAAATCTAAGCCTGAAAACTCTTAAGCAGGTCACAAAAGAGAGCCCCTGCTCCACAGGCAGAGTTTCCTCTGCTATTTGAGGCTGTTCTTATTAACAGAGGTTGGCAGGATGAAGCCTTTTGGCCAACAAAATGGGTTTGTACAGCAGCCACATGGGTGCCAACACCATCCCAGGCAATGCAATGTGCAGACGTGCTGGAGCACTCCCAACACACCCTTCCCCTTGAAGGAAAGCCCCAAGCCAGGCAGAGGCTCCCTGGGGTGAGGGGTTTGTGCAACCCCTTGCACAACCTCCAGGCAGATTGCACAGCTTCCCCCTTCCCCAGCACAGCATCACTGAGCCTCTGGGCTGTGCTTCTGCAAAGCCCTGAAACAAAAGATAAGCAGAGCTCAAGAGATGACATTTAGATGTAGGATGAGAATGGCTGGTGCTGGAATAAAGCTCCTGAGGAAGTTGGAAATGGATCTAAACCCTCTGTTTGGAGGCATCTGACTCCCAAGTGGAGATTACTCCGAGATGAGCACTGTGGTACACACTTCCCACTGGAATGGCATCGGGCAGAGCATCCCTATAGCTATAGGTTATTTAATGGTGCAACATTACAAGCTGTAGGTATTTGATTAGCAAACAGGACCTGGGAGAGGATCTGATCCCCCTGGATCAGATGCCAGTGACACACAAGCTATTGTGAGCTGCACTAGATACAGCCACAGCCCAGCTCCTTTCCCCCTACACAAACTTTTTCCTTACTGGACACATCTCCTCTAGCCTGGTGTCATCCTGGGTTTGTAAGACCACGGCCTGCAGTTGAGATGACACAGCAGCACTGCAGCTGAAGGTTGAAGCAGAGCATGAGAAAGGAGCCATGGCCGTGGCACTGCCCTCCATGCTGGCCACCACCTCTGGATGGCTGAGCCTGTGCCAAGAGGTGGAAGTGCAGGATATTCACTTTGAAGCATCAGTCAAATAAGGCATCATTACAGGATGGGCAGATACTGGATGGAGCAGCCTGAGGAGGACTTGGGGGTGTTGGTCAATGAGAAGCTCCCCATGACCCAGCTTCAGTGTGAGTTTGAGCCCAGAACCCCCCTGTGTGCTGGGTGCACCCCCAGAGCGTGAGCAGCAGCTCAGGGAGGGGATCCTGCTCCTCTGCTGTGCTCTGGGGAGGCCCCCCTGCAGCCCTGATCCAGCTCTGGGGCAACAGCACAAGAGGGATGTGGAGCTGCTGGAGAGAGGCCAGAGGAGGCCCCGGAGCTGCTGCGAGGGCTGGAGCAGCTCTGCTCTGGAGCCAGGCTGAGTGAGCTGGGCTGGGGCAGCTGGAGAAGAGAAGGCTCCTGAAGGGGACACCTCAGAGCAGCTCCAGTGCCTAAAGGGGCTCCAGGAAACCTGGAGAGGGGCTTTGGACAAGGGCCTGGAGGGACAGGACAAGGGGAATGGCTTGAACTAGCCAGAGGGGAGATTGAGATGAGCTCTGAGGCAGAAGCTCTTCCCTGGGAGGGTGCTGAGGTGCTGGCACAGGGTGCCCAGAGAAGCTGTGGCTGCCCCATCCCTGGCAGTGTTCAAGGCCATGTTGGACCTGGATGAGCTTTAAGCTCCCTTCCAACACAAACCATTCCATGATTGAGTGTAAACTGGTGTCAGACCTTTAGCCCCCATGGCCAGCCCTGTGCTCATCTGGTGGTGCTGGAGCAGGTGGAAATAGCTGCTCACCCCACTCATCCTGGTCTCTTCAGGTCTCTCATGTATCTGGCTCTTTGCCGCTGTTCCCTCATGTAATCACGGGTTCATTCTCCCTCCCTTGGCTTAGCTCCTGGGGGCTGTGGTGTCCTGAGCCAAGGAGGTGGCCTCCCTGAGGACTCCTTGTCCTGTGACTGGCATAACCGTGCCCTTGGACTTGCTTCTTTCTGCTTCCTTGTGAAATGAGGGCATGGTCCCAGCATCCCTGCCAAGGCAGGGGTGATACAGCATACCTCCCCTAGGAACACTCTGCAAGCCCAAGGGTACCCTTGAGGTTGTTGGGAACGCTCTTGGCAAGCAAAGGAAGCAGAGTGCTTGGCTTGGGACTCCAGGCTTCTCCCCTTACACTCTGTTCTGCAGGGGAATGAAGAACATGTTTGGGACTGGCTCTTGACTGTGGTCTGTGTCCCATTGTGCTGCTCCCCAAAGTCTGAGCAGGGCCATGCTCTGAACACACCATCATGCACCCTCCTGCAGTTAGAGGTGGTGGTGGTAAGCTGGGCTTTCCATCTGCCTTCCACCAAGGCTTTTCCTGGTGTAGTGATCACAGAATCACAGTGAGTATTAGTGAGGGAACACAAAGGAGGGAAGGGAGGTAGCAGCCTATTTCACATGAAACAGAACAACTCCTTTAGGGAGGTGGAAGAGCAGAGACAACACAAGGACAGAGCTGAACATGAAGCAAAGAGCCCTCTGGGACTCCAGGGGGGAGAGCAAGGAGGTGAGTTCACTCCACACCTAACAGACCCCTGGCAGGGAAAAGGTTGGTGGAGTTCCACAACAGCACCATGGTCACGGATGTCACCCCAACTGGAATGTCTACATTTTTCCATGGGACAATACCACATCACCAAGTCCCCCACCCCCAGATGAAGGGCAGAAGGAAGTTGTAACAGTCTTTAGAAGAAGAGGCTGGTAAAGAGTTAAATCTTCCAGAGAAAGGGATGCAGCAAGGAGAATTTTCTCAAGCTTTTCCAGCCCGTGCACATGGTGAGAAAGTTTGACAAGACCTTAACAAGTGAGAGAGTTCCATTCCGGAGCTTGGGAAACTTCCTCAGCATGGGAAGGCTGAAGACAGGACAGGATGTCACACGCTTTCCTTCAGGATTACAGGGGGAATGGAAGGATCAGGGCTGCAGGGGGGGTCTCCCCCGAGCACAGCAGAGGGGGACAATCCACTCCCTGAGCTGCTGCTCACACTCTGGGGGTGCAGCCCAGCACATGGAGGGGTTCTGGGCTCAAGCACACACTGAAGCAGGGTCATGGGGAGCTTCTCCTCACCCAACACCCTCAAATCCTTCTCCTCAGGCTGCTCCATCCAGTCTCTCCCACCCCCGGTGCTGAGGATTTCCTACTGCTCTGCCTAAAAGCTGGCACTACAGGAGACCACAGCACCCAGCAGGCTCTCTCCTGCCCTTTGCAAGGCAAGGTGCTCCAGGCTATGCCTTAGGAATGTTCCAATGGTTCATTCCTAGTAAAGGTATTTGATTTGAGATAAGACAGGAGTGTCCAGAGCTCTCCAAGACACTGAAACCTTTTTGTCAGACCCTTTTGTAGAGTTAAGGCCTCATTCAGAGGCTTCATGCCTGTGTCCATGTGAAAAACTGGAATGGATTTCCAGGTATCTCTCTTCGTGCAGCTCCAGAGGTGCCAGTGATCCTTCTGGGAGGGTTTATTCTTAAAGAGAGAAAGCAAAAAGGCACAATTCTACCCGCCTCAGTTTAATTCCAAGCAAGGTTCTGAAGGTTTTAGTGCACCCTGTGCTGGAGTTCCAATCAGGATTAATCTCAGAGGCAGAATCCATTCCATGGCATTGAACAAATGCAGAGAGAGGGAAGCAGAGAGGACAGGCAGAGAACAGCACAGTGTTTGAAGAGCTGGGCTCTAAGCTAATGCCATGTAAGAACTGGTAGAACAAGCACCAGCTACAAGGGAGAATGGGCTGAGGCTTGATGAACCACAGGTCACTGAGCAAGCAACAAAGTGAGGTGTGGTTTTGACATGAAGAAACAACATCTGCAAGGAGAACATGCCTGGAAGCCTTTTCCATGTGGGAGGAGCAGCAGCAAGTCTGCCCAGAAGGTATCACAAGTCCCATTTACTACACAATCCCAAGGCCCATCTCAAAACCACCCCAGTGATGAATCTACCAATGGATGTGAGCAGAAGATGGGAGGCTTTAGAAGAATTTAAACTAAAGGGGTTACACCTCATTGTCACTGCAGATCTTCTCTTGAAAGACAAGAGAAGGAAGAGGAATGGGAAGGGCTCATGTCTCCCAGCACACCTGTCTCCCACAGCAGCTCAGCACAGACCCACTCTGCTGCTTCCCATCGGAACTCCTTCATCCTGGGACCCAAGGAGTAAAGTGAAAGGACAGAGCCATGTGCTGCTGGAGCCAGGCTGAGAGAGCTGGGCTGGGTCAGCTGGGGAAGAGAAGGCTCCTGAAGGGGAGACCTTAGAGCAGCTTCAGTGACTAAAGGGGCTCCAGGAAACCTGGAAAGGGGCTTTGGACAAGGGCCTGTAGGGACAGGACAAGAATGGCTTTAACCTCCCGTGGGGAGATTAAGATGAGCTCTTGGGCAGAAGCTCTTCCCTGGGAGGGTGCTGAGGCGCTGGCACAGGGTGCCCAGAGAAGCTGTGGCTGCCCCATCCCTGGCAGTGTTCAAGGCCAGCTTGGACACAGGGGCTTGGAGCACCCTGCTCTAGTGGAAGGTGTCCCTGCCCGTGGCTGGGCAGGGGCTGGTTGGAGCTGGATGAGCTTTAAGATGTCTTTAATACAAACCATTTCATGGTTCTATTAGCGGAAAGAGCACCCAGAAACTGCAAGGAAGGATCAGATCAGGGAAGGAGAAAGTATTGAGTGTGAGCATCCAAAAATGTTCATGCTCTTGCCATGGTACTGAAGGGATACGGGTAGAGAGCAGTTCCCTGTCTACTCATTTGAATGTAAAGCTCTACATTCATGTTACAGCACTGGATGGGATGAGGCAATTTGCACTAGGTAGAATGAGCTATTTCTACTGTGTGTAAATCCCCAGGGGCTCCAGGCAAACAGGGAAGCACATGGAGGCTCCCAGACAAGATCACAGCAGGCACTCGAGACAACAAGGGAGCTATTCACATCGAGGATCCCACATCCTGCCTCTAGAAAGCTCAAAGCAGCACTGGGAAACATCAGGAAACTTTTGATCTCCTCCTTGAGAAGGGAAGAGGATCAAAGGAAGCAGCAGGCTTGAAAGGAAAGCTGTTAATCCCCAATTCCCCCCCCCAAAAGAAAACTAGTAACAAATTCAGGATAGTGACCCAGATCTCCTGTAGTCTCAGCAGCAGAGACTCCACCGGGAATCCCCATCCCAGTGGACAGGCACTGATAACAAGGAGCTGTTTGCACACCTCTGTCATTTCTCCCCTCATAGCATTTAAGTACCAGTTACAGAAGCCTAAGACAAACTATATTCAAGACAAATCATTATCATTGCTAGAGGAAGGAGAACCCAAACAGGAGGAAACAGCCCTGCTGCTCCCACTCTGGACTCCAGCTGTGAAGGGGCTGATGAAACAGTTTGTTTCCTGAAGTCTAAAGCTGGAATACTCAGTGCTGTATAAACACACTGACCAGCTCCTGGTTTGGATTCAGGTCTCCCTTCTGCTTTACCCCAGCTCTGAAGGCAGAGCTCAAACACTGGACATAAAAGGTCTCTTATCTCTTGACGTTTTCCCATGAACAAGAATTACTGCAGAGCCTGGAAGTGGAGTGTGCTCCTTGTGCAAACACAACTGGTGCCATTCCCCCCGTGGGGACAGATAAGGCCAGAGCACATGGCACTGCCTGGGTCAGGCCACTCGCTGCAGAGGCAGGGCAAGAGCAGAGACAAGGGAGAGGAGAATATGAATTACCCAAAGTTCCTGCTTTGCTCCACAACTGAGCCACCTCCTCAGTCCAGAACTGGCTGCTCACAACCACGGGGCTGTAGTAACTCAGATGTAACTACACAGGACAAATGTGGCTCGTTTTTCCAGGCCAGCAGCAGGGCACCTCATACCTTTTTCCTTTTCTTTGAAGGCTCATTGGCCAAGCTGCTCTTCTTCTGTCTTTCATGTCCTGCTGCTGCCACCTCCTCTTCTTCCTCTTCTGGAATGAGGCTGTATTTGGTACCTCCAGGCTGCACGAAACACTCCTTGGCAAAATGACCTGGAAAATAGTGTTTGAAGGAGAAAGCCACCTCTTTTTTATTATTATTCTTTAGTTAAAACTCTATTTCAGACTCCTGAAATGCTGCCAATGATCATCTTACTAAATCACAGTCAGAGAACCCACGGTTTGACCCAACCTCTCGGCTAGTTTAACGTGCCCTGATTAAACAAGCCAGGAGCAAACACAACCCAGGTCATTCTGGAAAGATTAGTCAGGAAAAACATTAAGATGCTCTTGTCTGAACAGGGCAAGTGATAGAAACATGTCTGTGCAAGGGCTTAAACAGGAAAGGTGGATGG